TAAGAAAACCAAGTGCTTCACCCAAGACTCACTTATAATCTTAAATCCATTTTGATTATGTTCTGGGGAAGAACCAGCTTCTTTCTACAAACCAGCCAGCATCTGGCAGAAGAGATGCACTGTCCCAGTCAGAGTGGAGAGGGGTAGGTGGATGGTTTCCTTGCCCTATGACTACTTAGAACTAAGCATTGGCTTGCTACATTCAGTACCTTCGTCTTTTACTGTGGAGCCCTTGGTTCTAATCTCCTGTCCACAGCACAGCACCATCTATACCACCAAGACTTTCCATTAAAAGTGTAGGGTAGGGGGTGAGTACATATGCATAGGGAAAATGTCATCCTGAGGTGACAAGGCAAACAGGTTTAGTAGATAGTTATTCAATGAAGTAAAAACAGGTTCCTCTACTAGTCAGATGGTTTACGGGGTATGGGTCTTCGAGGCATATGGTGGGCAAGTGTCTCAGACACTTAAGTGCTGGGTGAGATATAAAGGGGTCCAGGTCAAAGCTCCCACTGTCAGGAGGCTCAAAGCTCAGTGGTGGAGGGGACAAAGGCATTAAGATGTAGACAGAAAAAAAATAATAATCAAATAGGCCATGATAGCAATCAGAATAGATGGCCAAAGAAAAGTGCCAGGAGGGTTCAATACAGGGAAAAAACCCAATCTGTTGAAAGGATGTGGAAAACCTTTGTAAAGTGAGTCAGCTGAAATTGACTCCAGTGGATGGTTGGAGTATCAGATAGAAATGGACAGAAATATGACAGAGTGGGCCCTCCAGAGGTAAGGGAAAAAATATGAGCAGAGAGGGCCTTCCAGGCCCAACAAACAGAACAGAAAGGTATGGCCAGAAGATAGTAAATAGTTCAGTAAATAGTTCAGTAAATAGTTCAGCTGGAATAGGGTTCAAGAATGGTTAACAAATACTGAATACTAGGCTACAGTTGCAGTCAGGAAACAGGCAGCCATGTAAGTGCTTGAGCAAAGGTGGGATGATTCTTTCAAGTGGGTGTTAGATTTATGGCACTTTCTGGACTGTGTGCCACTACGAGTGCAGTTGGAAGGCATTGCAAGTAATATTGCCCAAGCTCCCTCAGAAAGCTTTAGCAAAATTGTAGTTATAAGAGGGTAATATGGAACAAGTATACTGATTGCACTGAACCACTCTAATATCGTAAGCTTAGCTAAGTGCCAAAGTGGTCTGGATAATCCAAAGAGTCTGATAGGTGTTGGAAGATGGGGCTCAATAAACAAGGTGATATTGTTGGTGGTTATCATATCTTAAAGATTTGACAAAACCAGATTTAGAATTGCTGATGTTGTGAGGTGGGAAAGGATCTGTTGAATATTAGCATGAGCCTGTGCAACTATATGAAAGTCATCACTCAGAGTCTCTACATACACCGCAATGGGATCCTAGACTTGATTTGAGGTGCAGAATGAAGGGAGATGTTACCAAAAAACTTTGTTTGTTGCTTTGGTTTGGGCACAGACTTGACGTGGATAAAGCATAAAAGTAGGCTTCTGAAAGTTAGGACAGCTTTACTGTGTTTGATGTTTGTAACTGCCTCCTGTTCCCCCTCTGCACAGTAAAATGCAGCGGCCCTTTCTTTCCTGGATTATACCTGCCCTTCATTTTTTTCAGTAAAAGTGATTTTATTAGGCTGTTGAGACCATTTTCTGGCCTCACGGCACAGTGTGTTTTGGAAACTTAGTGATGCTGGCTATTCTGTCTCCGGGCGGGCATGTGGAGCCCTCCCCGTCCCTGGGGCCCCTGTGCTCGTCCATATACCTGGCCTTCTTAACAAGGTTCCATGACAGAATGAAACCCTGGTGATGATTTACTTCTCTCTCTCACGTCTAGAATGTTGCATCCTTGAGATAACTGAGAAAGGCTCCCCTGAGCTTTGTTACAATATCTGTTACAGACAGCCTAAGTTAACTTACTCTCTTGCGGCACTCAGGTTGAGATACGCTCCACCGTATTAGTAAGCCACCTTCCTCCTTAGCATGCCTTCCCACATCCTCTTCCCTGCTCCACACTCACAGGGAAGAGGCAGACAATGTGCAGACACATTTGAATCCACTAACCCCTTTCATTCAGCAACCAGATCCAGGTCAGTGGCTTTCATCAGGAAGTATTTTTAAAAGTTTAGGGGATCATGTCTTGCTCCTCAGAATGCTGTGAGATGCTCAGCTGTATTTCTTTAGATGTTTGAAAATTAATCAATACTTTCTGTACAGAGACCCAATTTATGCCCAAAAAGAAACAGCAGTTTCACTTCTAGACTTAGGGAGAGATTTATTCCCTGAAAAGTTAAGTCTGAATGAGCAAAACCAGGCAACCTGGAACAGCCCATCTATCTCAATGTCTAAAACTTCTGTCCGGGGCAGAGATACATGGTTAAATTTTTAACCAAAATGCCCCATAATTCAATCAGTGTCCTGTGGTGAGAAAAAGCAACTGAACTAATAAAAAAGAAAGAGTGACACTTCAATGGCTTGCTCCTCCTTTTCCTGAAACACCATCACTTAGAAGAAGGTCATGGCTCCCACCATGCTTCATTAACATTAGAAACGCCTTTGCTTATCTGAATAAGTTCCAGGTGCCCTACTGCAAGCAGACAATTGACATCTCACTGTAATCAATATCAGACTTCAAAGAGGTCAGGGCCTATAAATGAAGATGAGTCAGAAGTCAGGGGGCTCAGTCTCAGGCAAGGAGAAAGACCAGAGGAGGAAAGACAGGGCCCTTGAGAGGAGAAGGGTCAGAATGCTGACCTTCCCACATTCTGTGAGGAGCTTGGTTTGCAATGATAACTTATTTATATGAGCAACCTTATCTTGGTACCCAAACATTCTAGGAAGAGTTAGTCCTAAGTCATTGAGGCAGATTAGATTAGGGGGAAAAGCCAGTTGGATACTCTCCACTCACTGTTTCCCAGTCAGTGGCTCACCCTTGGCTGTAGGCTTTCTTACTGGCTGCAGTCACTGTGTAAACACACTGGAGAGTTCCCAAGCTGTGCAGCCTGGCGGGTGGCAGTGCAATCTCTCTGCATCTGCTAAAAGTCATTTTACCAGGGCCATTATCTTAGGAGACGGCTGAGAAAATCACTTCCACAAGCTGCAAATGGTTGCAGGCAGCCTATAGGGCAGCAATGATAACCTGCAGGGATGTGGGTGGGGACGCGGGCAGTGACCAGGGTGAAGATGTGGAGACGGGGAGGATGGGCCTCGTCTCATTCAGGCCATCCATCTTCCCACCCCCACCCCCAGTCTCTCCAGAGGTTTTGGAAGCCGCTGCACCTTCATGAAGGGCATGATGGCTGCGATGGTTCTCCAGGCAGAGGGTTAAAAGCAAACTTAATAAAGCTACATTTGAAAATCTTAGGGAGCTGAGCAAACTATCACATTTGGGTGGAGTATAAAACATGAGGACCTGAAAGGCAGATTTATACTTTATCCAATCATTTGATCCTAAAGTCAATACCAAAGCTTTGGAAACTTAAATAAGGAGTGACCTCTTGTCTAATTACCTAGAATGAACTCCAGGCCTGATTCACAACCTTTCTAGAAAATGCCCAGTCATATTCTATTTACTCTCCCATCCCTTCCAAGTCCCCCCACTGATTAGAACAGACTCAAGTAATTAGTCTTCATTCTATTCTGTAGTTCTCAGCCCTGGCTACATACTTGAGTTCTCTGGGAGCATCTGACAATTCAGATGTCCATGCTGCTTCCCAGCCGTTTAAGCAGGAGTTGTGGCGGTGGGGGGAGGGGGGGGTAGGGTGGGGTCTGGGGGGGTCAGTAATTTTTAAGCTCTCTTCATGATTTCAAGGTATAGCCTGGCTCAACCCACTGATTCCTAGGAAGCTTTGGACTGAACAACTTTGACAGCCTACTATGCATCATTAAATGGTTGCTCAAAAGTTTAGTTTTCATGAGACCAGAGTCTTTGGAAGAAGATCCTCAACTCCTGTTCACAGATTCTGAGACACAAACCCCTGGGTAGTAACATCAAGATTCTGAATTTTGGTGGTGTGGCAAGGTGAATTCTATGCACCTAGAGGCTAGAATTTCTGCACTGGTCCAAAACTGCCACCAAATGCTATTTGCTATTTTATTTTAATTTTTAATTTTTTTGGTATCAGGGATCGAACTCAGGTCCTTGTGCTTGTGCAGCAGGCAGCGAAACCACTGAGCTAAATCCCCGGCCCGCTATTTGCTATTTTAATGATGAATAAAATAATGGGCCAATAAAATACCCCTATAAATACATTTTTTAAATGTTAAAGGGAGGGGCCAAGGATTTAGCTCAGTGGTTCCAGTGCCTGTCTCGCAAGTGCAAGGTCCTGAGTTTGATCCCCGGTACTAAAAAAAAAAAAAAGTTAAAGGGAGAAACATAAAGGGAGGAACAGTAATTGTCTATTGCTATAAATATAAGCTTATTTTACATTTTACTAAGTTGCATTCTAATCTTCTTAGAGTTCTGACAACTACTTTTACTGAAAGTGTACCTATAGAGAAAAAAATACTGAATAGTGCAGGCATATAGACTAAGGAGCACCCAATGTGGCAATTTGGGTGACAATGGGTTCAGAAACGTACACAACCTCTGCTCAAATAGAGAAGACTTAAGGAGACTTAGGGTATTCTGCCTGGAGGAAATAGAAAGTAGGGAGATGTTAAAGTGGCCATGAACAGATCAACAACCCTAAGAATTTGCAAGAGGAAATACACCTATTTGGTATACTAGGAGAAGAGAGAATAGAAATAATAAGTGGAAATTAAAGGGGGACAGATTTTAGTAGTAAAATAAGTTAGGAATGATTCAATAATGAAATGGGCTTGATGTTAAACAGGTGAGTTTCCCATGGCTAACAGTATTCAAGATGAGTCTAGTGCACCTCCATTCAGTTACATGGAAGGCACTTTAAAGTCCCTTTCAGTTCTAAGTCTATGTTTATAAGTATAAAGGAAGAGAAGAAATGCTAAGCAGTATCTGATTTTTACATCAATTCTGCAGAGACCACTGCTGTTTATTCATTTAACAAACATTTATTGAAAACCTACTATGTGCAAGGCACTGTGCAAAGCTTTGGGGATACAGAGATAAGAAAGACTCAGTCCTGCTCTCAAGGAGCTTACATTCTAAAGGGAGACAATTTTCCAACAATTATATAAAACAATAAATGTGTTAATATAGGCATTCATAGAATACTGTGGGATGATGAAGGAGGGACACCTCATTCAGCTTCAGAGAAGCTTAAAACATGCTGAGCTTGGAAGAATGAAGAGGCATTAGTAGAGTGCACAGGTGGAATGGTTAATGGTGAAGGGCATTCCATGTAGAGCAATGAGTACGTGCAAAGGCACTGAAGTGTGCAAGAGTCCCTGGCTGAAGAGCAGGGTTTGGGCAAGAGTTGGGAAAGAGGAGGCTGAAGAGATAATCCAGGCCAGATGATAAAAGGCCCTACATGTCATGCTAAAGTATTGGGACTTTATCCTGAAGTAGCTGGGAAACCACTAGAAAAATTCAAGCAGGAAAGTGGCATGCTTGGGTCTGCAATTTAGAAAGATCATTCTGTGTCAGTATTAAAGAAAGATTGGCAGAGGAGAGGACTATAAGAAGGAGCCCACTTAAGACAATTATAAGAGTTCGGGCCAGAATTCACAAGGGCCTAAACTAAGAGAGATGCTGTGAGGACAGAAGGAAGAGAAAGAGGTAAGTCACATTTACCGAATGCCTAGTTGCTTAGGAGGTTAGAAGCCACAAAGTGTGAAGGCTGAGCCAGATCGGATGCAGGGAGTAAGAAAGAGAAAAGTTTGGGCGAGCTGCCAAGTTTCTGGATTGAGTAACTGGGTAGATGGCAGGGCCACTGGCGGAGGTCAGGAATACAGGAGGAGCAGTTTTGGTGGTGGGGGGAGGAAGGGTGATGAGTTCAGTTTTGGAAATTCTGAGATTGAAGTGCCGGTGGGATTTCCAGTTCATCTTCAACACGCATGAAAATGCTCTTGCAATTCCAGTCCCTGAACTCTGCTGAGCAGAAAATGTCAATCATCTGGAAAGGGATTAAATCAACCCAGCCAAGTTAGAAATTATCCTTTCTGATCCCTCTCGACTTGAAATCTGAATGGAGTTCCAGGGAAACAACTGATACTCTTTTCCTTCCTTTTGTTTGAAACCTATCTTGGCAAAATCAGGAAACTTATCCTTACTGCATGAGCAGGCTGAAATGGTCAATTTTCAGCAAGGAAACGACAGTTCTTGGCTATCAGTATAGATGGGTTTTCTTATTAAAACTCTCCACAACTCTCTTTAAAAACTCTTAGTTAATAGACTGCCTTATTTATAAATGTCATGTCAGTATATATCTTAATACTACAAGCTTTCACAACTTCTTGCAGATCATTTCCCCAACAAGCCAAGGGTTTATACCATTTAAATAATCTTTGGAAATGTAAATCTTATCCTTCACGAAGGAAAGATCCACAATCCAGAAATTAGAAATAATGTCACTCAATATACAAAATTGAATAATTTCCCACTCATTTCTCATTTGCTAGAATACTCTAATTACTTTATCCTTTTGAACCTCATGCACTTTTTGAAACTTGCTGAGAATCTATTTTGTGAAATGAGGCAAGGCATGAATTAACAACCTGAACTTTCTCATTTAATCTTAATTCCTTCCTTCTACTGATGATGGTGATGAGAATTAAACAGTGAGCAAATGATCTTTGTAGGCTTGTAACCCTCACAGGACAATCTCCCATTTCTCTTATGCTACTTTGCTTGGGCTTCTCTGTCCGTTCCCTGAGGCCTCCCTCTCAGCAAATACTCACAGCTTTTGCGAAGACCCCCATAAGTTCTGGGAACTGATGTGTCAGGAGGGCCAGCATGGCTGTGAAGGAACACAATCCAGCAGTAAAGAGAATAAAGAAGGGAAGCTCCTTCTTTGGGTAAACTGAGACTTCATGGAAAGCTGTGGAGAAGACCAAAGGAAAATATTAGAGCTGGCATGAAAAACATCCTTGGAGAAAGAATTTCAATATGGTAGAGCTGACTCTTTAGAGCTTTGGCTGAAGCCTGCTGGGAATACAACTGGTAGAACACTTGACAAACTACAGTCAACACACAACATTGTCTTTGCCTACTAATCTGCTTCTCCTACATCCACAATCTCCACTCCAGCCAGAAAAGGTTGATTTGGAGATGTCACACATTTGTGGGCAGGAATAACAGCACAATCTATGCCTAATATATAGTATTCCTTTCTCAAAAGTGAACATAAATAAAACCACAAAATTTATAAAATATATGCTCATTGCATAAAACCTGAAAAATTCAAAGTCAAGTATATTGAAAAAAATCTTGTCTATATTTTCACCTTCCTGTATTTTTAAAATTATTATTAGGTGGCATTAGTTTATCTTGTATTTTTTCCTGACACACACTAAGTATGTCAGGGAAGGGTGCTACCCTGATAGACATTCAGCCAAGACCTCACACACTGGCCTATTCAACCTGCAAGGGATGAGGGTCAAGGTTGCTAGGGTAATCTGGCACAAGGGTAAGAGACTCTTTATGATGAATCACGGGCGGGGGGGGGAGCAAAACTAGTGTTCTTCGAGTATCATTCATAATCTTAAACATTGGGTTTGAGAAAACCAAAAGGCTGTGGTACAAAATCCAAGAGAATTAACTGTCCCTTTTGCTCATCATAGGGCTGCCCATGACCATCTAGAGTGATGGAGGTGATGGCTGGGGATAGGGGTTCCTTGCATAGAGGAGAAAGAATCAACTGCCCGGAGGTAGTAGAAGAGGCTGTAAAACTCCAGGTGAGCAATAATGCCACTCTAATCATTTGAGTAATTCATTCTCTTTAGAAAACACAATCGCTAAAGGCCTTTCCCCAATCATTAAACTCTTGCCACTCAGAGTCCTAACTTGTACTGATAGTGGAGAGGATCAGGGAGGAACAAAGCACAGAAGCAGCCTGTCTACCAGGTAAATCAATATGCTGGGATCCAACACAAAGTGGATGTGAGCTCTGTGTATAACATGGCAACAGTTATACTTTCAATGGGCAAAATATAGGTAGCATTTTTTAAAAAGCAATCTTATTCATATGCTCAGCCTCAAATCCCAGCCCCAAGAAATATTTTGGAGAAAGATCAGACCTGGACCATGACATTCAATTAAAGAAATGTGAGCCATAATTTTCTATTTCAGGCTTATAAAGATTATCCCTATAAAGTTTCTTTTAAGAGCTGTAATCTTGTTCTAATAGCTAATCTATCCCCATGGAAACTTAATTGGACTCAATTAAAACATTTAAAAACATTGTACTTTTCAGAAAACTGCCTTAACAGAAAATTGAAACTTTAACAAGGATCTCCCTGAAGGGGGAGTCAAAAGGTAAACTATGGGCCTACAGCAGGGATTGCTGAAATCAAATCTAATGTCATGTGAGGAACCACATCTTTTCTACAATAAAACTTGGACATTGAGGAACACATCGCTGAGATCTCCCAGTGTCCTAAGGAACAAGTTTCATGTTGGGTCTGGCTAGCAAGAAAACAACTGAGGTACCGCCGGCTACCTTAACTTGACAACGGCAACTTAGCTTTGACCCAGACGCCACCATGTTGGAGATTTATGGCTGGCTCAGTGATGCTGTGTTTGCACATTTACTATTCAACCAGAGTTCCTCCAAGCAAAGTACTTCTATATGTTATAGTTGTGAAATACTGACTTAACTGGGGCTGCTAAAACAGGAGAGAGTGGCAAGAGAGAACAAGGAAGAGAGAAGAGCTAAAATTTGAAGTTTATTATCTGAGGGAGAAAATATGTTCCAAGTCAGGGCCACGTGAAGAGCCTGGACATGATCCTTGTACACACTATGATTTGATAATAACTATTTAGGCCGAACGGTCAAAACAATGTTGTGTTACAGTAAGCCAAAATAATACTTTCCACATGTGGTATGGGTCATTAGACTGCTGGCCTGTAAGGTACTCGAGGGCAGGGTTTTCCTTCTCTGGGCTTTTATACAGAGCTGAGGCTGCACGTGTGCTCTGCACATGTTATCCAGCTCACTAGGAACAATCCACAAGATGTTCACAGGAAATCCCTCACCCAAGAGCATTGCATCACCACAGAGAGCACACCACCCTGCCCAGGACTCTGCCTCTGGCAGTGATGCCAGTGTCCTGGTGCTGCTCTGCCATCCATGACTCATCCGCAGCTTCCTCTAAAGTCAGCAATACCTCTCCAGACTCCAGTCTGTGCAGACCACATGTAACCTGCTGGAGAGCCCAGGCAGACTCCCCCACCCCTGCTACCATGGGCTAGCGCAGTGAGTAACAGCCCCACGCTAGGCTTCTCTATGCTTAGGCCAATCTATACACAATTCTGCTTCTAAATTTCAGTCCTTTGGCATCTTTTCTTTGATGAATGTGGAGAGACGGAGGAGCAGGAAGCCCAACCTACTCACATAATTCACTTTACTACATGTGCTATCAAATAAGGTCAGGGTTGGGAGGAAAGTAATACAAGACAAAGAACATTATAAATATTTCTCATTCCCACTTCTTCCCATCCCCACCTTTAGTCACGCCACCCTTCCTGCCTGAAGAGCGACTGTAGAGGTGAAACTTACAGGGAAGCAGCTCCCGGTCTGCTGTTTCTGTACATATTGGGTATGGATAAAATAGGTGTCCCTTTTCCAAGGGATAAGGGATCATTCGAAAAGCTGAAAAGGAGAGACAATATATTAGAGGTTTAATGTTTGTCTCATAACTTCCCAACTTCAAAAAGAGACTTTTGAGCATTTTTATAACAGGGAACACTCCTATAAAGGAGGCAAGACTTACCCAAACTCTGAGTCATGTGCCAGAGAAAATGGCAGAGATACAATATGATATATTACTCATGCATTAATCTCATACTATATATTCTGAGCAAACCTCACAAAACTGGGTGGGGATAGAGGTGCGGAGGGGTAGGGAAGTCATCAGCATCAATGCCTAGGATCTCATCATCTATAAAATATTATAAAAATGTTATAAGCACTAATTCAATATAGTTCATCCAATGGTAATAATGGAAACCTGGATAGAAATGCTTCCCTAAGAAGTAAAAATGTGCACTGACTTATTGGAACTTACTACAGATATACAAATATGAAAGGCATTCTACCATGTCTATTTAAAAAATATGTCTAAATGGATTAGAATTTCAACCAAGATGGATAAAAACAAAATCTAAAAATATATGACTTGCGAGGTATTTCTAAACTTTATGAAACCTTTAAATCTTCAATATCATATGGGAAAAATGGATCTGGGGAGATTGGTTATCTGTATTTTGATGATGTCAGGCCACCTAAATTCTGCTTTTGTGGCATCAGACGACATTAGGCATCACACTGAATTATGGCTTTCCAATCAATCCATCCCTTTCCATTATCGAGTGTGTTATTCTCTCTCTTACAATGTCATCAGAATGTTAGTCTCACTGTTCCTATGAACAATGTTCACAGAGGAAATTTTTCTCCAACAGATGTCCTTTAACTACAGCACACTGTAGATATAGAACATGAAAGCCAAATGATTCCTACAATGGGAATGAAAGATAACAATCCTCACTTCCATGTGCATCAGTGAAGGATGGTGGCAACACAGCAATATTTTTAAGTGCCACATTTTAAGGAACAGTAGCTGCATCCTCCACTGTGTAATTACCGAAGTCTTAAAACGCTGTCAATGTACATATTTATGTTTTGCATACTTATTTCAAAGAGGAATCAGAAACAAAGAATGTTCTCCTTCACAAGAAATGACAAGGTCCCATTGTAACCAGCATCAGTGCACATATGGTATTTATTCTAGTGTCTGAATATTATTTAAAAGTAAAAACATTATGTATGTGATTCCAGCATTTGGAATGCAGTCAATCTGCACCACAGTGGTATCACTCTGAGGTTACAGCACATTGCCACAGAGAATATAAATCACTATAAATGTGGGATTAGAGCAGAGCCAGTTTGCTGGCAGTTTGCTGAGGTTAAAAATGTTATCAATTTTCCTCTCGTAACACAAACCTCTTAAACAGAGATTAAAACATTAAAAACACCCCTGACTTTAACTCTTCTTAAAATGAAAGACTCATTCTAGTTCAGTAAGATCCTTTCTTTCATGCAAACAAAGATGACTTTTGCCATTAGAACAAGCAGCAGAGGAGTTCCTTCATAGGTTGTTAACACACAAAGATCACTGGAAGGAACCAACATCTCTCACTAAACCACACTTTCAAGAGAATAAAAACTAGAAACAAAAGCGAAAAGCAACAAAACAAAACTGAAAACCCACAAAATCCAAAAGAAAAAACTCCCCCCAAGACTCCCACCACCAACAAAAACCTTTTTTACTTACTTTATAGCATTTACTAAAATCTCTTCTGGGAAGTACTAATTTTGCATTTAAACTACAGTATGGCAGAATTTTAGTTCCATTGTCCATAAATGATGGCTGCTTTCAGGGCACTCCAAAAATACGGGAAACATACATGGAACTTGAGTTTTAAAAAAAAATTTCAGCTTCTCCATGTGTAATTCATCTTCTATAATTAAAGAATCCATGCAGGTTCATGCGATATAAACAAAAATTCAGTTTTCAAAGTGGCTATAAATTTGAATGCTAAATTTATTCAAAATTGAAGTCAGTTTGCACTTGAGGGAACAACTTTTTAAATGAAATATAGGAGTGCACGATCTTGAGAGTGTTCAACCATAGAAATCTAATGATTGGTTAATCTTTTCAGTCAAATGCTAAATTTTCCTCCCAGTATTTGGCATGTATACAGAATTTTGTGCGTCACTTTAGTTTTTTTCTTCTTCTTTAATTGGCTGTCTTTTTTGAAGAAGGTAGAGATATTGATGATATTCAATTAAAAATAATACATATGTCCTGCATTGCTCTCCCACTCCAATGATTGTAAAGATGTTTACAATGCTTTTAAGATCTCTCTCATGTCAGCTGGCATTTACACTGAATTCATAAAATAGTATTAAGGCTTTTGGCTTCGCTAAACAAAAGCAAATACAATTTCTCCTTGCAATTCTATCCTTTTCCCGCCCTGCTGTGCAGGATCCAACAAAGTGTGAGATAAGAAAGACAGACCTGGCCTGAGTGGGGAAGAGGCCTTTCTTAAACCTTGGGGGCTTCCCCTCCCACCTCCTGGTCCCTTCCCTTTCACTGCAGAGACATGTGACTGCTCCAGGAGAGCCTTTGGCTTTAGCCAAGCACCCAGAAATTGTGCAAGTGCAAGCGTTAAGAACACACTGATTTGGTAGTACAAACAAGAATGAAAAGAGTTCTTTGAACAGATGTTTTAAAAATGATTACAGAATTCCTAAAATTCTTTGAGAAAAACACATTTCAGAGAAATTAAATATATACATATATATTTGACTAAAGGCAAAAAATATAATCTAGGCTACTGAGTTAATACATGGCATACAAATCACATTTCTGCATTTTCCTTTATGTGCCACCCTCTCCCCTATCTTGATTTTGATTGTGCCAAAATCACACCCTCTAAATCAAATCCAAGGCAGGACACTGTGTTCTTCCATCCCTACCCAGAAGCATTTTCCAGGCCCCAAGGCTATCAGAGCTGTCTGCATTAAAGACACTCATTCCACCAGTGCTGGGGAGAAAATTGACAGAACCAAGAACGGGTAGAAGGCTGGATACATGAACAAACCAATGATTTTTCACCTACCCATTATACAGACAGGGGTAGAAGGTAAGTTTTGGCATTTTGTCTATGTCACTTTTTCAAAGAGGATCTCAGAGGACTTTGTACAAATTATTTGTAATAGTGAGGACTGAGTTTGACTCCCAGCTCTAGCTCTTACAATTACTCCCTGGTCAAAGGTGAGTGCCTTCTTAGGGAACACAGACACAAAGTAACAGATACAAAGCACACATGACCTTGTACTCATCAAGCTTGCTCTTGTGTTCCAGGAAACATGACCCAATAATCTTGAAAGTAAATGTAACAGTTCCCATAGTGATAAAGAGCCTGAAGGAGAGATAGGTGGTGTTGTGCATGTCTACCAGGGGAGGGAGAGGATAGGTCATTAGGCTGTGTCCAGTCTTTCATCTGCAAAATGAGAGAATATCATGGGCCTCAAAAGGCTGGTAAAGGAACTATGGCCAACAGTAGAGGCCAATGTGTCTACCGACAGTGTACACCTGCTAAATATAGTTATGTTTCTCTTTATCTTCCTTCTCTACTAAAGGTTCTTTCTTGTTCAGATCACATTCTATAAGTAAAAATGCTGCCTGTTTGTTAATAATTAGAAATCCAAATGGTAGAACAGATAATCGTCATCAAAATGCAGATTTTATGATCTAGTTTTGACTGCAATGTAAAAGCCATGAAGACCAACTTTTGTGGGACACTTCAGTACAAACAGAAGGAAGTGAGGTCAAAAGCATAGCTTGTGATTCACATTCTTTCATTATAGAAGTGAAAGAAGCTGTGTTCTGCCCCAGTTTGTACTTCAGTTTTGATGCTCTTTGGTTGTTCCTCCTGATCTCATCACCTAGACTGTTTTCTGGCACTCACTATAATCAGCCTTGCCCCAGAGCTGTCTGTGGACTTGGCTTCCTGCCTTTCTTACACAGCTTTTCAATCTTTTTCTTGGTATTCTCAAACACGATGCCTAATACAAAGAAGGGTCTCAATAAATATTTGTTCAGTAAAGGAATGAATAAATTAATGCAAAAATCAAGGAAATTTTCCCTTTAAAATCTCAGGTGAAGCCAGGTGCAGTCGTGTGTACCTACCTGCAGTAGCTACACTAGAGGCTGAAGTAGAACCACTTGACCTCAGGAGTTTGGGGCCAGCCTGGGTAATATAGAGGACCCCATTTCTTTAGAAAAACAAAATGAAAACCAAAAACAAACAAACAAAACTTGGGTGTATCCAAATTAGGATCAGTTATGGAGACTGAATTAATGAGGAGAGCAAGGTGGTTTTATTGGGTAGTAGGTAGGGAAGCACCACAATGCAATATCTGAAGACTGGCTATGAGAGTGCATTAGTTATGACCAGGAACTGTATCTGATCATTGCTTTCTCATAAATTATAAAATGTAACCTTGGCTCTATGGAGAGGCAGGGTGGATTCTCTCTTTAATAGTCCAAAAGGTGCCAAACTTATGGAGAAAAGGTTTGGTTAGAGGAAGTGCCCTAAGAACCACATCTTAACAGTGAAGGGCATTTGCCATTTGGTTCAAAGAGAATATATTAGAATCACAATCTCATCCTATGCTTCAACAATGGGCCATTTTCTCAAAACACCACCTTCAAATCTTATACATTATTTAGTGGCTTCTTTGGAGGAAAAAAAAAAAAATCTCCAAAAAGAAAACAGAGTCTTAGTTGATCAAGTGGAAAAAAGGAGAAACAAAGAAAGGCTAAGTGATTTACCCCACGGCACACTAGTCTTCTGATACATAGAAGTAGAAAATTAAAAGTTCACAGTTGAGGTCAGCAGACAACCCTGCTTTATAAAATAAATAGAGCCTTGAGAAGATCAAGGTAGGGGGAGATAACGACACATCAGTATTTGACACAGGTAAAACAGAAAATGTGCCATTTAAAATGTGGCTCTTTAATTAGGCACATTAGCACTGTAAATAAAACCAAAATGAAACAAGACTTTTTATTCTTTTTTTTAAACATACAACTCATACTCACAGTGGTGCATGTGTGTGAGGAGAACCAGAACCTGTACTACTTAGAATAAGCATAATTCAGATAAGGTGGCAGCTGTATAATAATCCAGGAAACATACTATACAATCTTATACATTAAAAATTTTCCATTTTCTTAATTACCTTGACATTGAGGAAAATATTGTGTAATTTCAGGGGCTGGGACAGTGATGAATCAAACATTTTGGAAACCTTTGAAATGCTGATGTATTTGTGGCTGAGGATTCAGCTTTTCTTTTTTCTTTAACTACCATATGTTTCAAACACAAACAATCTCTGCTATGCATCAGCTGGACTTTGGGGTTTTATAAAAAATGGGAGTTTTTTCAGCTTGACTGATGGAAAACTCAGTTTCACAGGATGACTAATGCTCTACCATAATAAATTCATTAAAAAGCAACAAAACAAAACACTCATACAAAACAAAAACCTCAAATCAAAACCACAGCAACTAAAGAAAAATAAAACCAAAACTAAATACAAAACCCAAAACCAAACAGACCACTACCTCTTACTTCCTAATCAACATTTCTGAGGGAACTAAACCTTTAAAAAAAAAAAAAAATCTCCAAAAGATAACCTAATAATCATTTTTAATATGGAACATGGTGAATTAGATGCCTTTAAGTTCATCCCTGAGTTCTCTACCTAATGAAAAAGGGAAGTTGGGTGGGAGTTGGGGAATGATCTTACATTTTTAAATGAAGAAAAAAATGATTCAGAGGAGAAAATCTAAACTTTGAGGCTGGTGATGTCAAAAGGCACCACCAAGTGGTGCATTGGGGTAAGTGCAGCCTCTTCCGCTCAGGCCCAAGCTGCCCAGACAAGTCCTGCAGACTTCCCAAGAGGGAGCTGTGCCAACCTTGCTGAAGCTACCGACCTGCGGTGCACACGGTATGGCGTTCAATATCATCAGTACTTTAGGGTTTCCAAAAATCAGGCAGGTTAAATTAATAGCAGTATAGGCTGAGTCAGAATTCTAATTCAAGTCTTCTGATTTAAAACACTGAGCTCCAAACATGTATTTAATTTAGACAAGACATTGATCTAGAAGTGATGTCAAAAGATTGCAATCAATTCTCTGGAGTTAGAGTAGTAACTATTTCTTCTAAACTGCATGGAAGACCTATAGCAGTGATGGCAAACCTTTTAGAACTTTCAGTGATAACAAGCAGCTGGATACTCCACGTGTCCCATAGGTTTGCCACCACTGACCTATAGCTTTGTCTTTTTAAAAGGACCCAAAAGCACTTGTGATGAAAGATTATTTTTTCTAAGTATATGTGTACATATTTATGCTTGTTGGAAATAAATGGTTACTGTAGAAAATATGAAAACCACAAATATGAAGAAAAAAAGAAATTGCATCCACAACTCGGCAATAACTGCTTAGGACAGGTGTATTTATTTCCAGTCTCTTTCCTTTGCTTATACATATTTACTATTTATTTTATAAAAATTTATCTCATTCAATATTCTCATAATGAAATGTTAAAGTCAATAATAAACAAGAAAATATAATTTCATACAAATGGTTAACTTTCTATAAACACTAGAAAGGGACTACATGTAATAAGTATAACCTAGCCTGTAAGTAGTGATACAAATTCAAATTGCAGATGCCCAAGCAAATGTTTCAGAGACGACTGATCTTCTCATATTTAATCTATTCTGTGCAGTGAAAGAAAATGAACGTGGATTTACCTCCTACCTCTATCAATGGTGGCTATAAGACTTCAAGTCACTTATTGATTCGGTTTCTTTTACTAAAACTTGAGATGGCCATTTCTGTCTTCCTTAACTCAGAATATTACCAGGCAGAATAAGTGAAAAGATGTAAATGCAAACCCCCTGTAAGTAACCCAGTTATATAAACACTCTTCATTGTTCCTGGCATTCTCAAGCAGTACGTAGTTAGTATGCTCACAGTTCTCTTTTCTAAAATCGAATATTAGAGCTTTTGAAAATTGAGTGGCATTGTAACTAATTTAGGCTAGGCACACAGCTACCTGATTTTCACAGGAACTCTTAATCTGTAGGGACCAAAGCCAAATTTCCTTCTCCTATAAGTATTTGATTTCTTTACCATACTGATTTATGTCTAAAAATTCATCCCTTCCTTTTATCCTAATAAAGTATTCTGATAATCTAATTTGAGGTAAATTTTCCCACTACTAGCTTGCTTGATTTTGTAGCTCCCTATGTCACTTCACATTTCTCTCAGTCTCATTATCCTTCCCAGTGGATCCAGAGAGTCCCTCATCATTAACTGGTTACTAATTTCTTAAAAGAATTTCCAGTTATTCTCTATAAGGTTTTAATTGTTTATGATGATGCTATTCTTAACATGTCTTCATCATCCCCCTGCCTCATCCCTTTTTTGGTCCTTCCTATAAGGCTGAATCTTATCAATAGGATCCAACTGATAAGCTTCTATTACTGCATCCAAAATGCCAATCTACAAATATGTTCTTATTTGATAAACCAACTTGTTTATTTAATTTTTCCACAATTAATACTAGATGAGGTTTCTCGTGTTCAATCTGCCTGGGATTTTCAGATTCTTTTTCATGTTTAAATGAAAATTTCTTTTGACCCTTTTGGATGGAACATCTACATACAACAGTGCACTCAAGCCAGAGGGATGGTGGCTCTCTCTCACCTACCACCCTTCTCAGTGGAGTGTGGTATGTGTTAACATATCCAAATACAGTTACTGGTGCTGGCATGTTATTTACGCTTATGAGTAGGAGTGGAAGCATTGGTCAGATCAACATCTTCAAGGTATAAATAGTAAATTACATAAGTGAACCCATTATTAATTCTCTAAAGGAAAAATTCAAAACAACTAAAAAAAACCACCAGACAACTTTCAACTCCATCTCTTTGGGTTTATTTTTACTCCACCCATTTTACTCTGTTACCTCCCTTCCTGCACCAAGCTGGCTTCTTTCTGGGTTACAGAGGGGCAGGAAAAGGAAGGAGAAGATTACAAAATGAAAATGGAAGCAGAAAAGATAAACAGGGTGGAAAGGATTAAAAGACACTTGTTTGTGAGACTAAACAGAGCAGGGATGAACTAGGAAAAAATTATCAGAAGATTCTAATATTTATTATTTTGTTTTCCCATGAGAGAAAAAAATCCTACATGTTGTGCTTGTTTTGCCTAAATTAATACTGACAAAGTTTGAAGGTACATGTGGTCTAATAATCCACAGTCTTGGGTCTCTTCCTTAATTTATATTCTCCTAGTGAGCCCCACCACTTATCATTTCTTCACAGGTACCCTGGCTTATACTGCTATCCTAGTTCTTCAAGACATGGCTCAAATCTTATCTGACTCATATGGCTACCCATGACTGCTCCACCCCACAGACCTCTCCCTTCTGAAAAATCACCAGTGACTGCCATGTGTTGCTGGCTATTCTTCCTGACTAGACATCATGCTTCTCTAGGGCAAGGAGTATGTTTCACCTCCAGTAAAGCCTCCCCCTCCTTCCACAGAATGATAGTATCTGTAGAGAGCATGCATTCAGACTTACTTATCCCTACATCCATCTACCAGTCATTTTTTCACCCACAAGAATGCCACATTGTGGACCAAACACTGGGGCCCAACGGCCACTGCTCTTGTTCTGAAATACACCTGCCACGCCTTTGTAGATGGCCAACGCATCTCCAATGCAGGGTAATTGTGGCTCCTTGCCAACTGCCTCGGAAAAGCCAACATGAAGCAGTAATCAGAGTCTAGCACAAGGCATAATCCCACTGTATAAATTGCCTTTCTGAGCTTTGGAAGTGGCATCACCATAGTAATACCTACCATTGCTGGGGACTGGAGTGTCTAAGTAATTAACTGCCTTAGTAATCGGCCATCACAGGAAACAAGAATTAGACATATTCAGGTTCTCATTAATTTACCATGAATACTCAGGTAAAAACAGTTTACCACTTTTTTTATGTTCTTAAGAAATATGTCAGAGAAAGAAAATTACTTACTGCCTTCCCATGTACAATGTAAAAGATTCAAAGCCCCTTCTACCCTCTTCCAGTGTGCAAGATGAAAGAAGGCATATGCTATTGCTTCGCTGTCTCCTCTCTTCAGGATATGCTCTGGGGGGAGGATTAAGCTTTTCATTTCTAGTAGGTACTGAAATAAAAATGGCACGAGACACATGTGTTAATACATAGGAATTTGGAATTCAATATTAAAATAGGTTGATTTCCCTAAAGCCACCATTTATAAGCATTTCATAAAGCCTGCAACTTCATTACTACATTTGAAGGCAATTACTAAAACATCTAGCAATTCAAAGTTTGCTTACAGATGATTAGCCTTATACTAGTTTTCTACAGTGAAGATCAGAGGCTTGCAGACGAAGATACCCTAATCAAAGAAACTAATATGGAATCAAACAGAATAAAGAAAAATGTAGAAGACACAATGATTTGAAATAACTTTATAATAAAAATGAAAATACGTAATATAGAACATGAAGGTCTAGAAGTTATATGACTGAACTAATTGCACTAGGAAGATTTCAGATTGACTAGGACTGCTCATTATTATTATTATTTTTACAGATCAAGGAGTAGGATTTTGTCCTGTGCAAAGAGCCACCTATAGTTGCTCAGATGCAGGAGGGAGGAAGGGTGCCAGTCCATGCATTGGAATATTCAAGGAGGGGGAACAGTACAGACCCTAAACTGTAATGTTCACTTGGGGTGATGGTCAGCTTACATGTCTTCCTTCCTATTGTCTACAAAGGAGAGAAGAGTACAGGGCAAGAACAGCTATGAATGGGTATTCTTCCTGGGGCCTGAGGGAAGACTAAGTTTTCATTTTCATTATTTTGCATTTACTATAGAAATGGATGCAAATTTAGAAAGGTATTTTATATTTTCAAATATTAACCACTCACTGCTGGCTAGCAGTCTCCTGGTACAGCATTTCTCACTATCTCCCTTCCCTGATCCAATCCCAACACACCTTGAGCCTACACACCACCAACAACAGCAACTACCATGGACAACACCACCACAACTCAAGCAACTCCTTGATAATGAAGATTGGCAGACCAAGAATGGATGTATTTAGTTAACATGTAACAAAAACACAACAAAAGGAACTGCTATAAGAAAAGATATTCAAAAATTGTAATGCCAGAAATAACTATGGATTGTTTTGACAGTGAAATTTATGAAAGAAGGTGATACACAGAATAGAGATTATTGCACAACGATGTTTCTTCATCTAGTTGAGGATTTACCCTCTTGGGGCATCAGCTAGTTGCCTTAAGCCTCCTCTCTTGGTAGGACACTTGGCATCAGGGTAAACAGCCCATAAGAGCTTCCTGGCTCAGTAATGGAAACTCCCCCAAATCTGGGTCTGATATTGCAAGAAACTGCCAAGCCTCTGGTGTCAAAGCAGGAGAAGAAGGAAAGGAAAGTAGGAGAGAGACACCCGAAGAGCAGCAAGAAGACAGTGACATAGTCACTGCACTTGGGAGAAGTTGGGACAGAAAGCCCTCTTGGATAGAAAGATCTCAATACAAGGATGCTATGGTTCACATCTGGATGTACCCCCAAAACCTCAAGAGCTCATAGATGGGGCTTTGAGGAGGTGATTAGATCACGGGGATGTGATATTCATTCATGGATTAGTCCACTGATGAGTTTATAGCTAAATGTGCTGTTCAAAGGTGGAGCCTGACTGGAGGAGGTGGGTCATGGGGTCTTACCCTACAAGGGCATATCTCCCTCCCCCACTCCTCCCTTCACTCACTCTGCTTCCTCCAAGCTCTCCTCTGCTATGCCCCTTTGCCATGCAACCTGATGGGAGCCAGCAGATCATGGACTGAAGATGAGCCAAACTAAACCTCTCCTTTAAACTTCAAGTATCACATACTGTACCTGAGTGATAAGAAAGTGACTAAGAGTGCTGGGAATTTAGCTCAGTGGCACTGTCCCTGCCTGGCAAGAGGAAGGTCCTGAGTTCGATTCCCTGTACTGGAAAAAAAAGTGACAAAGACAATGGACTTCTCTCCAGGCTGGTCCATAAAAGGCATTCATTATTTTAATGATGATGATAATGATGATGATGATGACAACAATGACCCTGAATTTTTTTGGTTGCCTTTTTTGATACTACAAGCTATTCCTCTCCTCCTACATCTTGTTTTAAAATACACAGGACAAAAACCTTTTGGGAAATTTAATGACAGGCAATTACCTAGCATCCAACTAGCACTATATTTATAATGAATGATCAATTATATAATGAATTATCACATTATAAATATAAAAGGTAGTGAGATGATTCTGTTACCTCATGAGAAGCCATTACACTGTGCATATTGGTATTGCCAGTGATGGTCTTAGAGTTCTCAGTCATGAGAAAGATATACTGTATAACTTATTAAGGATTATTGGATTAATTATTTTAGTGTAAGTTAGAGAAGACAGACCATTTGATCATCCTTAATAATCATCAATAAAACAAGAAGTAAAATTTTTGAGTCCTAGAACAAGATCTTGACCTGAGTTTCTAATAATTGGGCATATCTACCCTGCCTATCATATAGATAACTTTTTAAATAAGGATCATGTTGTATAAATTTTGAAACATACTAAAGTAAAAACAATTAATCATGTTTCCCAGGTATACTGAAATCTCTTTAAGGCCCCAAGAATCAGATACTATTGAGAGAGAAGTACAAACTACTATTCCTTTCCTATCTATGATTAGGGAAGGCTTTTAAAATTGTCCCAGTGTGACTGTTAATCCTGACCTGTCAACTTGCAGTGTATTAAACCCCCCTGGTAGATCAGGAGAGCATGCTCCTTGGTGGGTCTGGTTGGGTCTTGGAGGCATGGCCTTGGGTACTGTGTATGGTTCCCCACCCATTACTTTCAGGCACTGATCCTCTGAGCAGCTCTGATCTACCACACACTTCTGCCATGATATTTCTGCCTTTAGAGTCAGCTAACTCTGGACTGAATTCTCCCCAAACAACAAAATTAAAACCTTTTCTAAATTAAACCTTTTCTCCTTTAAGTTGTGAGTGTCAGGTACTGTGTTTGGCAATGGGAAAGCTGACTAATATATTCACTACGCATTTTTCTCTTGGCCTAAAAAAGGACCTACAGGAATAGGGGCAACTGAGAAGAAGCAGACCTGGTAGCCAGCCACATTTGTGGGTTGAAAAAAAAGCTAGGAGGAGGTAGAGCAGTACTATCCCTTCTACAGTACAGTACAACTTGGTGGAGGGAGTTTAGAAAACTATAGACAAAATTATATTGCACTGTCCCTGCCCTATATGGTGGCCTTTACCACACGAGGCTACTTAAATTTAAATTTAAATAAAATATAATAAAAAATTCAATTCTTCCATCCCACTCATCATATTTCAAGTACTTCACTGCTGTGTGTAACTAATGGTACTGGACAGAGTAGAGACCATTTCCATCACAATGGAAAGTTCTCTAGGACTGTACTACTATAGATGGTAGTTTCTGAACTTCAAATAACTGGACTAATTTTTAACATGAAAAAATTTCACAGATTCCCATGTTAGGAGTCATCAGTACGTATTATGGCAAAACTACAATCAATAAAACACTGCTGATTACAAAGGCATCTATACACAGATGAAAAATAGTAGTACACAAGTGGGTGAGACATATGGCTTATTCAACCTCAAGCTGAACAAGATGCTCATGGCTTCAAAGTCGTCATCCACAACCCCAAATGTAGGCTGGGAGGCAATTCTTTGCTTCTCCTCTGAGCTCTCTGATCTTTGTACACATAGACTTATATTAGTCACCCATATCTTTTTCTCAGCTGAATCAAGAGCATGAACCTTGTAATTGTAATCTTTCCTACTATCACTGTACAAGGTAATATATATAATTT